CACACACACACACAGGTAAACAGGCTGAGTGTGGGTGAAGTCTCCTGTCGGTTGGCCGTGGCTACCTTCCTGGCTGATGCTGGAGAGAAGCACCCCCGGGGAAGCCCATTCCTGCCTGGCCCAGGCCACCCATGGTGGGAAGCCCACCCTCTCCTCCCTGCGCCCATCATACACCCAGGGGTGGTGTGATGTCTGTGTGCTTTCTCTGGGATGTCCTTGTTGAATCCTGGCTAAAGGACTGAGCATGTGGAGTCAGGACACTCGAGTTCAGGTGTGACCTCTGCCATTTACCCCCTAAATGACCCGGGATAAGTAACCTCTCCAGTCACCCGTGTCCTCATCTGAAAAGTGGGTGTAAACCTGCCGCCCCCTCCCCTGCGGGTGGCTGCGAGGAGCACGTGGAACAGCGTGTGTGAGAGCACTTGGCAAACAGCAAGGCCGTTATTGCCTGACGCTGCCCCTCAGAGGCTGTTTCAGGCAGCAGTGACGAGGGGGCGTAGTTTTGGTTCCGGAAGGTTCTTCCCCTGTACCCTAAACACCACACTCCTGATTCACATGTCATTTTACTTGTCCCCTCCCTCACAATCCCCTTTCCCTGCTGGTCCACAAAGGTCACCTGCTCTGGGAAGGGAGCAGAGAGGAGGCGGGAAGGCTGGGGGGAGGGGGGGTCAGAGAAGCATCTTTTGAGCTTGGAAAGGTTTCAGTGAGAGAAGTTCTTCTGAGGGCAGCGAGGAATCCTTCTGTTCCACCTGGAACAGCTTGTTCCCACCCCACCCCCCACCCCCGAGGAAAACCGCTTCATCTTCTCCGCAGCCGGGCATCCAGCGAGGTTCTGTCAGGGCTGCGCTCTTAGTGCCCAGCCTCTCTGTGGTCCTCGGCCAGATCGGGTCGGGATGGTGGCAGCACCGCCTGGGGATGGCTGCTCTCGAGAGGAGCCAGAGGAGGAGCCTCTTGGGGGGCAGCGGGGGGGGGGGGGGCAAAGCCGCTGAGTCCAGGTCTCTTCAGCTGTTTCCACTTGAGATGTTGACGTTCTGTACCCAAAGGACGAGCAAGCGAGGGGTCTGCCCGCTCTGAATGGTCCCTGCAGGGTGCGGTGACAGGAGAGGCCTGTCGGAGCAGGAGGGAGCCTGTCGGAGCACGCGCTCTGCAGACAGGGAGGCAGGGGCCCGACCCGCTCTCTGAGCCCCTCTTCGTCTCCTCCGCAGACAGACCTGCACGAGCAGGGCAGCTGGGGCCTGGCAGGGGCAGCAGGCTCCTGCTCTCCTACCGCGTCAGCCAGCCTCTTGCTCGGGAGCAGAACGGTGGCCTGAAAACAGTAATTTTCTGAACAGATGGCATAAAGGCTGAAAAGTAGAAAAGGGCATGCGACAGACGTCTCTCCTGCCGGCTGCTCCTGTGTCTGGTGACAGCGTTTCCAGATCCTTCCAGAGGCACTCTGGGCGCATGCAGACAGGCAGAGTGTGCGCGCGTGTGCACGCGTGTGCGCGCGCGCGTATGTGTGCACATATGTGTGTATGTGTGTGTGTGTGCGCATTCTTCTCTTTGTAGAAACTAGACATGGTACCATTCTACACAGATGGCTGTGCAGTTCGCTTTTTCACTCCCCACTCCGTCGCAGAGATGAGAAGACTGAGGGGCTCGCACGCCCGATCCAAACTCGCGGCTGTTGGTGTGGATGAGCCAGACCTGGTTTACCTCTCCCTGTGGACAGGCATCCCTGCCTCCGTGTGCTCTCCGAAGCGCCATTCGGCAGTCCCACAGCTCTGTCTGCAGACGGTCACAGAGCGGAATCGCGAGGAATGCATGCACTGGTGGTGTCGGTCCATCTTGCCAAAATCCCTCCGCTGAGGAGCTGATTTCCTCTGGGCCCGATCATTCCTTCATGGGTGGTTTGAGCCAGAAGGTGAGGTCACTGGCCCGGTGGAGGGCTGGTTCAGCCTGTGCCCTAAGTTAGGACAGACCTGGGTGCTTTTCACCGTCACCAAGGGGTGCCAGAGCTCACTGGGCCAGGCCCCCCTGTACATGAAGAACCAAGGCCCCCAGAGGGGCTCTGCCCGAGGGCTTCTGCAGGCTTTAGGATGTGGTTACCCCTAAACCGCCTGCATCCCAGCCTGCTCTGTTCTGCCCCTCCGTCGGGTCTCCAGCCCCCCCTCCAGAATGCCGAGCAGGCCCCCAGGAAAGCCTGTGTCCAGTGGCCAGAGCGAGAGTTAGGAGCGTGAACCACAACATTTTCTGCTGGATGTGGCGCCGGGAACTAGCCCGTCCTGGCCTCGCCGACAGCAGCCAGGCTGGTGCCCCTGTGAGGACTCGCCCACTGGAAGAATCACTGATGGACACGCCCCCCCCAGCACCCCCCGCCCCCCTGGGAGCCTGAGGCCAGGGAGGTGCGCAGGCCCCACAGACACCAGCACAGCAGTGCCTTCTGGTCCCCAGACACCGCTCTGGCAGCCCGCACGCTCTGAGCCGGGCTGGCATCTGCATTCCTCGTCCTTCTCTGGGCGTCTCTGGGGAGTGTTGGTGCCACGACGCCGGGGCCTGGCCGGAGGAGGGCTGGGCCCGGGCCAGGTGCCTCCTGTGTTGTCCTGCCTGCTGGACGCTGGTCTCCCCTGAGGAGCTACCAAGCCATCAGCTTCTTCCTGCTCTCGGTCCTCCCCCTCCCCCTCCCGCCTCCAGCCTCCCCTCGAGGCAGCCCTTGCTTCTCAAGACCTTTGGGGGCCGACTTCTGTTTCCAAAGCGTTCAGGGCTGTGTGTGGGAGGCCTTTCATGTCGGAAGTTCAGAGACCTGCGGACTCGTGTGGAGCGTCCCGTGTCCTGCTGCGCCAACAGGCCAGCCTGGCCTTGGGGTGGAAGTTCCTGGGGTGACCTCGTGGTCTAGGGGCTCCCTGGGAAAGGCACGCCTCCTTTCACTGGTTAGTTCTGAAACGGCCACCCTGGACACATGCAGCCCCACACTCTGGGCACCAGAGGGAGAGGGGATTGGAACTGAGCCTGAGCCCCACCCCTCCCCCTCCCTCCTGTCTTTGCGGCGGGCTGCCAGCCTTTCCCCAGTAAC